ACGAAGCGGGGTAAAAAGGGTTTTGAGTATGCTCATGTGTAAAGAATCACAAAAAAAGGCTTAAAAAATAAATAAATCATAGTAAAAATACTGCAGAATTGTCAGAAATGCCACCAAGACCTCTAATCTCACACTGCTTTTCCCCTTTGGGGTGCGCATTTCAGGGTGTAAATCTGGTGACGAGATGTGACGCACTTTTTTCGCTTTACACCAACGCTGACCTAGACAGTTTACGGCCCTTTGGGTATTACTGTGTGACACAGAGAATTATGTTTGTCCCCTAAGTGAATCACCCTTCTTACTGGCCAGCAATGAGCACTCGAACAAGAAATCAATAAAATCTCAATCAGAGAAAATGGAAGGGAGAGAGAGAGAAGGAGGGAGGACTGGCTTTTTGTAATTTCAAAACATACAACCGGAGAGAGAGAGAGAGAGAGAGAGAGAGAGGGGAATGTAATTTGTTTTACTGTCTGTGGAAACACAATTTCTCAGCAGCAGTACATGGCCGCTGGTTTTGAATTAGAAGTGATCTGGTAATTATAGGGGAGGTCATGCTGTACCAATAAAACCCACATGAAGAAAGATGACACAATCACATCTCCTGATGTCTTCACCTTTGCGTGCAGGTTGATTAAGTGTACAAACTTTAAGTGATATTTAGAAAGCCGAGACTGAGAAGCTTGTATTGTTTAGTGGGAAGTACTAGAGGTCATGTGTTTACATTTCTATGGATGGTGTTTTTATTTCACAACAGTGCAAGATGTGGTCACAAGACTGAACAGATGTGTGGTGGAGTACAAAGATGGGCGTGGTCCAAGCAAAGGGGCGATTAGGGGTCATTGGCCCCCAATTACACTTTAGAGTTGATGGCAGGGTCAAACGGACACAAGCCTTTTACACAGGAGACTGCTGCTTGTGTCCCATGTGAGAAAAGAATGCCAATATAGACTTAAGTCCAGGAAGTTGCTCAGACCATAGAGATTTGCCTTGGAGACCAGAGGGTTAAAGGATCAATTTCCCCCACGGACCAAGTAGAGATTAAGGACTGGTATCTGAAGAGGTGTCAGTTCGCCTCCTGCACCCTGCCGAAGCGCACTTGTCAACAAACTCATTACTGCTCGGGGAACCTGACCATGCTCAGACCATCGCTCCATTATTGCATGTGTATAAGTCCTGTCTGTGCATATATGTGTGATTGGTGCTTATGTGTGTGTTTAGAGTTAAATAACACCAAAGTGAAAATTGAATTTCCCCTTGAGGGATTAATAAGGTATGTCTTCTTCTTTCCGAGCAATTTCTCTTTTTAGCTGGTGTAACCCCACCACAAAATGGTCGCTAGTTTTTAGTTTTCTGCGCATTGACGTTATTGTCAAATGTTACTAAAACAGGAGTAAATGGTGCATCTCCAGATACATATTTGGGTTGTTGCTTTTGTTTAACTGAACCAAGGTGGTGTATGTAATATTGCCTCAAAATAACAGTGTCCAGGTTCATCATGACCACCGAGGAAAATACATTGACAATACTTGTTAGCAGGTTCACTTCTATGTTGGTGTTGGTATATTTATGGGATTTCTTGACAATAAGAGAAAACTCCTTTGACATGGCAAAGGTTCAACCAAACCTGGAGGTGGATGCTTCTTCACTTTCTGCTGCTCTCCGCCTCCATATTGTTTTAAGAAGTGTAAAAGTAAAATGGCAGCCTTCCAATGTGATTTGGACTAAACAAAAGCCCAACAGCTTATATTCCCTGCTCATCAAAAATGCGGTATGACATTTAGGCCTTGCCATTGAATCCATGACAGCTAGACAAGCCTGAATTCCTCAGTGGATTCTTTTCCACAATGTGTGGGATCTCTTACTGGCCAGTGGATGAAACCCAGGCAACTCTGATTCAGTGTCTGAGTGGGAACAGGATATTGATCCAACACAGATTCATAGCATGCTGGGTAAACCCGTGGCGTGCAACACTGGCACCTCTCCCATGAGATATAAAACATATCAGCATGGTGATTTGACAGATGACAAATCTAAAGGTTCTCATCGTAGATTTATACTGCTGACTATTGCTGCTAAAGAAGACACCAAATACACTAATAAACGTGTGTGTAGTAAGAGAGAGCTAAAAAAAAAACCTTCGCCAGACCTTACTTTGAACTAAACAGGCCAAGTCTCCTGAGAGATTCAGTGCAACTTGGAATACATATTAAAGCCTTTCAGTCCATGACTATGGGAAGCCATTAAGATGCATCACCCAAAGTAGGCTTTCCCACGAAATCACATGTGAAGCCATGTATTTTTTTTCTGGACAATGAGAAAACGCACATGGCTGCGTTTTAACAAGATGTAAATGCAAATGTTTTTTCCGATGAGATATTCAGCAACATCTCAACAGGAAAACTGTGACGCTTCGATGAAGGTGATGAGATGAGAAACCTCATATACAGCATCACATCCACCAGATATCACATCTAGTGCTTCCCTTTATCGAGTGTTCTTATGATTTATGTTTGCTGTGGCCTTAAACATGAAGCAGTGAAGCATTGTAGCCGCTTTCTCGATCTTCAAATCTTTATAGCAAATGCTGCCTTCATGTGTTGAATGCACAGTGTTGGGGCTGGCAGCCAGGGATTAGATCTGGTTCCGTGTCTGTATGGGATGTGCTGCAGATGTGAGGAGGTGCAAGAATGCTATACTGTGTGTTTCATTTTGGTGGGCAATTTCAGATCTGACAGAGTGAGAGGTAAACCCCTCTGCTGGAGCTATGTTTCTATAATCTGCAGGCAGAAGCTGGGACACTGTGTGGTATTACCTCTGAAGGTTGAAGAGGTACTGCGGGAGAAAATGCCAATTTAGGACTGAATGGAGACTTCTTAGATTATATGTTTCAAAAACAACTGTGTTTTCAAAGATTGTACAAATCAATGCTCACAATTGTTCGTGTTCTACAATATATCATCTGGTGAATGCACATAAAAGTTACTAACGCAACAATATTTGGGATGATAAATGTATAAGCCTTGTTAAATGAGATAGAACAATTCATTACAAACAACAACAATGTGTTTTAGAATAGATACATTTTTTATATTTGTATACAAACATGCAGGGGTGTCAAACTCAAGGCCCGGGGGCCAAATCCGGCCCGCGACTTCATTTTATGTGGCCCGCAAGAGCTTGCAAAGAATATTATACGTTTATTATACGGTTACATGCCACTTTACAGAAGCAGGTTGCCCATAAACTACATGTCCCACAATGCATCTCATTTTGTGACATGCGCACTGAAGAGACTTATCTAGAACTTCTGCTTTCAAACGTAGTTTTACCCTATCCGATAATAATCCAATTCAGAGGCAATAATGTAATATAATACATTATTTTATATATATATATTATATATTTATATAATATAGTTACAACCGGCCCTTTGAGTGCAACCATAATGCTAATGTGGCCCGCAATGAAATTGAGTTTGACACCAAACGATTGCTCTATATTTTCAATTCAAAATATTATAATCCAAATCAACTGTCTTTCAGCGTATTGGTTTGGTTTTAGTTTCCTCCAACAACAGTTTATAAAGACAAACTACACCATTTGCTCGGCACTAAACAGCAGACAAGTTAGCGTCTCGCTTGTGAGCATAGTGGGGCATTTAGCAGCTGCTCAGTGGCATTATATTACCCTCAGGAGTTGGTGGAGACCAAAAACAGAGCTAAAATACGGGTGAATGTAAGACTTTTATCCATTGCATGAAACACAACTGCAAATAAATTGTGATTTTTGTGTTTTAGCTGCACCAAATGGCCAAATATCATCAGTTGAATTAAAACAATTATAATTAATAACATCTTTGTGTTTGACTTCTTGTTCATTAAGTACAGTTTCATCTTAATAGTGTAAAAATATATCTTTCCCCCATTCAACTATGATGCTTTACTTAAAACAAAAGACAATATAAATGCATGTGCATTTCTCTAGCTGCACTGGAAAAAAATCATTGTACATTTAGTGAGAGCAACAACCTCTCTTGGCGCTGCTGCATATTCAAACAACTAATGGAGAACCACCAGTCCTCGGGGTATGAATCTCATTCAGTAGATATTGAGCTGATCAATGTTAATACTGATGAGACTGACACAGGGCACTGAGGACTGAAGAATGGCAGATGGCCGTAGAAACAGAGATTGTATAAAAGCGGCGGCCAGTAACCGTCCTTCAAGGCGTGGCGGTTTGTCCGCTGAGGTTTATTAGCTCTCAGTAGCCTCTGAGGCACCGGAGCCTACATCACTCATGGAAATTAGTCTGATTAATCAGCTGAGTGCTGGACTGTTCATGGTATGCTGGAGACCCGACCACTCCGACAGTAAATCATGCGTTGTCACAGTGGGCTGCACCTCTATCCACACCACGCCTCTCTTGCTCTCTACACACTGCAGTGGCCTTCCCCCCCCCTCCCCCTCTCCCTGGCACATGCAGAGCTTTTCTAAGAACAGATGGGAGAGTGGGGGAAACCCAACACAAGACGATTCATGCTGACATCTAGTGGAGTCCAAAACATGTGACTCTGCATGTGTATTTAATAAATATGTTGGGTTTAATGTTAATCCCAAAAGAAATCTAGTTCAAAAATAGTATAATTAACTTGATTAGTGTTTCACCCAACAGATCACCAGAGTGTTATATTACTGGACAGTTTGAGAAAGCATCCAACCATAGACAGCCTGCCATCTGGGCCATGCCTTCAGTGGACAGTAAGGACACTGAGGAGGACGAGGAGTGGGAGATATTTCTGAGAGCGGCGGAGGATGGAGGCTTCTAACAATGTGCAGTGATCTGTCTCCTCTTAAAGAGGACGGTCAAAGCGATGACAGTGGACTTCTGATGGAGTGCAGAGTCTCCTCCTCTGTCCTTCCCTCACAACCTTTAGATTCACAGAATAGTTGTTTGGCCTCGAACCGCATCACACAGAACATCTTTCCTGACAGGATACTTACAGCCAAATCTTGATTCCTTGAAAGTGGCGGGAGGTAATCACTGTGAGGCTGTTGTCAATCAGAAACCCTGAAATAGAAAAACAACGTGAAGTCAGAGGCACAGTTCACTTTTGAGTCAAACAAACATATGTTCTGTATTTTCTGGAAACATTTGGCAAAGTGAATTATATTTCAAACATTTGCAGGTCAACCCAGTCTCATTATAAAAATGAATTTAAGTGGTTTGAAGGTGGTGTAACTGGTATGTGTATATTTTAAAGATAAATCACACACAGTCTTGAATAAAAGCATGAACAATGAAACTTTAGAATTCCACACTGCAGAAAGTTATTACCCCCAAAAAATCGTTTTGAGGCAAGAGCAGAACATTGATAACTGTCTTCCTTTCACATAAACATGCTGACATATGGCTGAATCCAACCAATTTTAATCCACAAGCTGCAGGGCGAATGAATAATGACTGAAAGCTATCCGTTGCACATCACGGCTCACCGGCTATTGAATAAAGTCATTGTCATAACCGTAGGACCACTCTACTGTCCGTCTCTTTGAAAACTGTCTGGGTCAGCGTGCTATACATAAAACAGCTCTCTAATCCAACATACAAAATTCAAGTTTAGTTAATAATGAGAGCGTTAAATTCACAATTGTTTTTATAGGAAATATTGTATCTATCTTTTTTAAACTTCCCCAGTTATCTCTACAGTAGTATTTACAATGTTAAATTATTTACAAAAAACAAAGACCCCTATCTATCCTTCATCCATAATAATAGGCGCGTTCACACCAAGTACTTTTCCCACAAAGATTCCTGAGAACTCTTTAGTTCTCATGAACTAAGTACAGATCGCGTTCACACCGGAAATTAGTTCCTGGGGGTGGATTAGGCAAATGAAGCCGCTGACGTCACTTCTTCTTCTTCTGCTTTGGGTTTACTGGCAGGCCGCAAACAACTTCACGGCGTATACTGCCACCCAAAATCCCCGGCCGGAAGTCCCCCGGAGTTGGGGACTGGCTTCAGTAGAAGCTGCTGGGACTCCCAGCAGCTTCTACTGAAGCCTTCCGAGTAAATCGCCAGAACGCCGACACCTCCTCATCTCCACCGCTCCCATGTTTTATTTTGTGTTGTCATAAGTTAGTCTCTCTGCGTTTCTGCGCTGGGCTAATGCTAATGCTAATAATGCAATGCGAGGATAATAAAATGGTGGCTTCACAACACTTTTGTTTTGTTTTACGGGGCGTGGTTTGCAATCCGCCCAGCCAATCAGAAATATAGCTCTTTTCTCACAAGAGAGCCGCATGAGAGTCCCCTAGCAGGGATGGAAAAGGGTTCTCATGAACTCATTTTAGTTCCGGCTCTTTTTGGTGTGAACGCGACATTTTCGGAACTATATCGAAACTAAAGT